CAATTTTGAACTTTTTATACAGTCTTTCACTAATGCACAGAGCATGGATCGTTTCGTCTTTATTTTGTCGTCATCTTGCGAAATTTCTCACGAAATTACAAACGATAGGCAATTGTGAGATTAAAAACGTAATAATTTATAGCAAACAAGCCGTCGAAAAGTATGACATTCACGATTAAATATTTACGGATTGAGTATCCATCGTAACCACCAGAGATTCCATAGATTCCAAGTATTCGCGAGCAAAGACGTGCCACGAGAATCGGCTACGATCTATCGCCGTTGTCTATTTAATATTATTACACTGGCGAGGCCGTCGAAGGTTGTCACTGCGGTGTGCCACAAATTCCAAAGCGTCGCAGGGGGGATAGATTTTCTCCCCCCTGAAGTTTGTCGATTTGGCTTCGTGTATATCGGACCGTGTATATATCCGATCCAGGTTATATACGATAAGATTTGCACAAGTTTCTCGCCAAGTTGGGCACCAAATTGGACAAGCTTAATCAAACGCGTTTAATCGAAGACGATTCGCGGTGAAGAAATATTACCCGGCGACAGTTATCGATGACTTACGGCTGTCATTCTCACAGAGAGATAAGACGAAGGTACGGCGAGACACGGAGCGTTGAAGCGCGATCAACGGCATTATTCCACCGGCGCGGCTTGCGTCAGGTGAAAGCAGCTGAACGGTCGACCGCCTTTTCACTCCCGACGCCGACGACGCCGACGATGCGGTCGCTCTCGTGAAACACCGCTGCTACCTACGTAGGAGTACGCCAATGCGTGTGTGCGTCGTACGTGCTCCTGATCCGCGGATACGCCCGTGTGGAGAGGAGAACGCCGATTGACGGGATCTGCGACCGATCGTTCAACCACCTGTGTGTATGTGTGTGTGTGTGTGCGTGTGTGTGTGTGTGTGTGTGTGTGTGAAGAGATCCGTGTTTATTTATTTATTATTTATTTAGTACCTCTGTACCTGGCGCGAAATGCTCCGTTTTTAGACACCTAGCGATGACACCGATTGACGACGAATTTCACTTAGATTTTCGAAAATAGAGGGATTTCTCGATATAATCGATTCTCGAGACTTCGTTCATTACTATCTTCACCTCGACCAGCCCTCGCCCGCCGAGGGCGGCAGGGACGAGACTTCGTTGTTTCGCATCACGCTCGGCGACGAGAATGCAGGGACGAGCTTCTCGGGGACACAGGCATAAGACAGGCTTTTCCTTCCTTCTCCCTTTGTGCCCGGTCGATTAAACGCGCATTCTCTCCCCCGTGCGTTTCTCTCTGAGAACCACACGCGTGATCAAGACACTGGATACGATCGGAGTCGGGCGAAGAGGAGCCGCTCTTTCTCGCGTCCTCTTTTTATTTTCCCTTCGACTCGCTCTCGTTATCAAACCGCACGCACGCAGGTACGTCACGCACACGCACGCAATACACGTCGAAAGCGTATACAGAGTACACGGGAGAACGTCGGGCGAGACTTGCCAGCGTGAATCGAGGACGAGCTCGATCAACGGCCGCCACGCGAATCGAGTATCGTAGCAACTAAGCGCGAGCGAACGCGACCGCTTGTATTTATACGCGTGCCGCGTTGCCCGCCTCGCACGACTGTCTCTCTCTTTCGCGGCGCATCCCCCACCCCGAGTCGCGACGAACGCGTGTACGAGAGGATACGCACGAAATCTGACCGATCCTGATTCTCGTTTCGGGAAGAAGAAATCTGTACGTAACCGTCCGTTTACAGGGTTCCTTCATCAGTTCGGAGTTCAGCAGTTATTTTTTCATAAGATTTCGTAAAAATGTCAGAAAGTGGCGGTTAAATTTAATAAACGCTTCTTAGATGTCTCTTATGGACTCAGGGTGAGTCCTTTGAAACGTAGAAGTATTAATATGACGTTTTTAATGATATAGTTGCCTACTTTAGGATTTATCTCTTTTTCACGGAGGTGACGAGCAACTTTAACTTGAATTTAGATGTATACGGTTATATGGCAAAGTGCGATATAAACACAAATTGTGTTAAGTATTTATTGTGTTTCTAAAAAGAACTCTCTTTCAGACGCTACAAAAATTCAATTGCTTTGTAGACTTGCCTGTTTTCTGCGTTAAAAATGAGAGGTTATGCGAAATTCAATAATCTCGTCGAGCAAAAACTTGAGTAAATTAAATTTAAAGTTAATTATTTGGTAAATTGAGTTTAATCCTAATTGGTATTCGCTCCAGAATTTTTTTAACCGGTATTCGCGGGGGTCCAGTGTAATGTAAATTATTGTATCTTTGCTTAAAGTTAATGTATTCTGATTGAATGATTTTTTTCATTTTGAAGATCAAATTCGAAAACTGAGATTATGTAATTTAAATTTATGTCAGGCTGTGAAAAGAATTTGTTATGGACAATTTTTCACAATGTATATAGCTGAAGGAAAGTTAAGAAAATTTCGGAGCGATCACAGTTAAGGTAAACTATGGCTGATACGAAGCTATACATATAATTCATTGTTGGAAAATATGTCATTAATTTCTACATCATCTATATATAAATTATAGAACAAAGTTAAAGAGATACTAAGAAATCGATTTTGTGAAGAATGTAAGAGACTATAATTGTAAAATGCAATTAGATAAAAAATTTAGATAATCCAATATTTTAAAATACTATGAATTTTTAAACTTTGATTGTATTTGCAGATAGATTTCAAAATTTTCTTATGTTCTTCGTATAATCACGTCTGGTTCTGTTTTTTGTATAGTTTTTTTTAGACATTCTCAAACTTATACATAGGCTTTTAAAATTACATTGTGTAAATCCACTTTAACAAGATAATCAAGTTAATCAATTTGATAGTATTGTAGTCCATCCGAGATTGATAAAACAAAGTAAGACATAATAAGTTTTAATACCAGTAAGAGATATATCGATAATTTCGTTGAAATTATTATTGCACAAGAAATATCACAGATTGATTTATAGAAGGAAAAGCGTTTGCTTGAATTATTTATGATCTTATAAGTTCGCCTTTGCAAATTTAAAGAGATAAATTTTCTCTCTTTTCAATTTCAGATTGAAAAGTATGGCAATAATACATAAATAAACTCACTGAAATAAATATATTCGTTGTAATATTTATACAATAAATATTATGACACTATAATACGTGCTTTCATCATAAATTTGTTACAATAATATAAATTGTTATTATCTTCAGGAATAACAAGATTATGATTGATAATAATGATAACGGTCGTAAAATTCATGGAGTATCTACATAGAAGTAAAGTGTAAGCAGATAAACAATAATTTATAACTTATTCGAGAGATAAAGAATTAAAACGAAAAAAGTTGTATAAATGATAAGTCGATTAATTGCAACATATTTTGCCACTTAGGGATTAAAAAATCGAGGAAAAAATAGAAAAATATATTCCAAGAATTTCGATTGTATCCGAGTATCAACGTTCGAATGTCCTGATATTCCTAGATATCGCGTTCAAACAGCCACTTAAAATTGATTACACAATTCGCGATATCAGACTGCCATTTAATTCACGGTCGGCCACGAGATATTTTTTCCGGCAATCGCCATACATCTTAGCGCTCCGCTCTTGACCCGATTCTAGACCATCGAGAGATTGACCACACCCGCTTGTTTATTCGACATTTACTCAGATTTACTTATTATAGGGGCTGTTGCATCCTGCGACGCATGTCATGCCAATAGTATTCGTCAGTGTAAATAAATAAGCATGCACCCAAAAAGATTCTGCATTACAATAAACTTTTCTCTTCCATCTTTGTACACATCTCATCGAAATATAGATGATTTCATTATTTAATGGCTAGAATTTTTTTATGTTGCAATCATATCAGCAATTATTTTATATTACTTATATAACATATTTTTTTATTATATCAATATTATATTATTAATTAAAAAGCCAATGTAAATAAATATTTTAATATGTAAGTAAATAATCTTTTAAGAAATTAATGATTGCTATATATATCAATGCTGGTAAGTTTAGCCAATTTTATACTCTAGTTACGTTCGTCAAGGCGCAGCATCCCCTTTTACTTTTTGTTTGGTAAGAATTAAATTAAATAGAGGAAAAAAGAGAAATTACGTAAAAGTACGGTGAAATTTACAGTTCTGCAAATTAACAATGTTTTCCATTGCACTAATTAAAAAAACTTTGACGTAACATATTCGTCAGATATCATGAGAAATAAACTTTAGGCAAACAGCTTTTTATTTATTAGATTAAATTGTCAACTGTAGAGTGAAGAAACAACTTCCGAAGATCCTTCCGTAAAGTGTCCGTTATTCCGTATTTTTTATTCAAGTTTTAATTACAACTCAAATCTGTTTTCGTAAAAGAATCCGAAAAAAAGAAAAGCTTTATTGATCGACTTTCGCAGGTAGCAATTTAAATATATAATGCTTCGAAAATGCTTGTCGGGCGCAAGAGGGACACTATCTTGGACGGAACAAAGAGCGCGACGTTGTTTGTTGCAGAAATGTTCTCAACGAGCGAGAGGCAAGAAGCGTATTCAGCCTCCACGGACGGACAATGAGAGGGCTCTAATTGGCTGAATCAAATTAAGAGTCCGGTCCGTGTTTTCATCGTTGCCAATTTCGTAATTGGATACACGGCCGAATTGACCAATTGTTTGCACCGTTCTGGACATTCATCCGCCTGCCTCGTTAATCGTAGCCTTCGTTAGGAAAATGCGCGGATGTGCGACGGAAACTTCGTCTCGGTCTGAACGACAGGGCGGAAATGTGGAAACGGGTGTAAGTGTCTCCTCGTGGCGGCCTTGTAGTTAGACAGCTGATCGCGC